CCGGCGCCATCGTTTCGCCCGCTGGCACCACCGTCGGCGGCGGAGCTGCGTCCAACCTGGCCGGCGCTGCTCCTGCCGTTGCTGGCGGCGCTGCTGGCACCGGCGCCCTCGCTGCCGGCACTGGCGCGACGGCCGTCAACGGTGCTCAGTCGTCGGCCACGGCCCCGACCGGCAGCGCGTTCAACGGCAACTCGATCTACTACCAGGACGACGTGCCGCAGACGACCAAGGCCGCCCCGCCGATCACCAACGCGCTGCCGACGACGACCACCGGCGCCGCGCCCAACACCACTTCGACCCTCTAAGGAGCAGGGCCGATACGCAGCTGCTCGCCGCTGATCTGGCACTCGCCCGTCCGTCCCAACGAAAAGCGCTTCTCGAAATGATACCGGTCCCGGTATACCCAACGCCGAACCCCGTCCAGGCCACCGGGCGACCTTCCTTCTTGCTTTGCTTCTTCCACCCCGGTCCTCTTTCCGGTTCTTTCTTCTTTGCCTGCAGCGTCCACGATGCGGCGCCCTGACTCACCCTCGTTTCTGCAGCGTGTCCAGTCTCGGAACTGTTTCCAGGGGCTGCGACCGACGTGGAGCGCAGTTCGGGCGGCTTCGGTGGGAGGCGAGGCTGGCGCTGGTTGCCTCTGCTTGTCTGGCAGCGACGACGGCGTCCCCTGCCTCTCCGCCCCGATTCCTCTCGACTGCTGCTCTGCAAGGTCGCGCGCGCCCTTCATCCGCTCGTTGTGGTCCTAGCTTTTCTTTGCTCTCTGAACTGATTCCTTCCCATGCCCCACCTACATATGTATGCTCGTGGTTCGTGATGAGGGCCTGGCAGCGCGTCCCGTGAGCCTGGGGCGCGTTTTTTCCTTCCGCCCCGACGCAGCCAGCGCCTCCGCCCCTTTCCACATCTCATCGCCATTCCCTGCACGGACTCGAGAGCGCTGCCTCACAGTCCTGTGTGCAGCCCTCAAGAGCGTTGTCTCGACACCGTATCCTCAGTGCAACCTCACAACCATCTCCACCCAGTCGGCGCTGATCCGATCCAACCCGACGTCCTTTCTCTTTGATCGGGTCCGACGCTGCATCCCCGGCCCGCGATGCACGTCGAGCCGCAGACGCAGACGCAGCTGCAGCCGGATCGCTTGCCCCCCTGCCGCCGTGCCGCCGTGCCGCCGTGCCTAGCCGCCTGCCGATCCCCTCACGCCAGCAAGATCGTCAACGCAGCGCATGGTCCGGTACCGTCGACATGCTCGCTCAGACCGTACATGTACGTACCGGGGCATGCCATCCTGGACACCACCCTCGACCGCGACCGATGCCGGGGGGTGATGAGCCCGTCTGCGCCAAGAGGCTGGCCGGGCTTCTACGCTTCGACAGAGCCAGGACTTGGACTTGGCAGCGGATCGGCAGCCAAGGACAAGGACGAGCCAGCTAAGCTTCTTGGCGGCGCGCGCCGTGGCCATGGAACGACGAGTCTGTCGGGAGCAAAGCCGATGGGCTTTCCCGCACTTTGATGCGCTCGTCGCTCCGGGCCACGCCAGCACGCAAGCAAGGTTTCTTGGCATCGCCGCGGCATCCACCTCGCCTCGCCTCGCCTCGCCTCGCCTCGCCTCGCGGTGGGTTCTCGCTCGCCCTGCCTGCTTGGACCTGCCCGCCGTCGATCGTCCCCCCTGCCTACGTGTGCCTCCTTTCCGGGCGGTCGCAGCTCACAGGCACCGTTGCAGACGCTCATCCAGCCGACCAGGGCCTGCGACGTCCTCCTCGCTGCCATACGGTACGGCACCATTGCCTGATCGTGATGGACACCTGACATGCCACCGCTACCCTTGCTCGCCCCCGCCTCTCCCCGCCATGCAGCCAGCCTCACCTCGCCTCCATACATCTGTCCATGCAGCAGCAGGGTAGGCTGTCGTGCCATGCGTGGCCTCCTCGCGTGCGCAGCAAAGCGCTACGTCGCTGTACATGCCGGTACATGCGAGCGTTTGAGCAGAGCGTGCGAGGGGACTGCCGAAGGCCTGCCTACGTCGGAGCGAGCGGGGCCTAGATTCGGGACTTTCCGCCTTGCCCCATCCCGTCCACCGCTTTGTCCACCACTCTGAGCTTGCGCCCGCAGGAATGCGCCCAGCCCTGCCTGATCTGGCCTGGGCTCCAGGCTCCTTTGGCACCAAAGGGTTAGGGCCAGGGCGTGGCAGGAGGGCGGTGAGCACCTCACTCCATCCCGCCCGCACCTGCCTGGCTGCCTCTTGCGCGCGCGCCTACGCCTGCCTGCCCCCTCTTGCCGAAGCGGTTTTGGCGCGATCTGCCATGGCAGGTGGAACATGGCCCACGGGTCTCCGAGGACGGTACCTCTCTCGCCTCGCCGTGCGTGGTGGCGGGGCTCGACAGCGGCCAGAAGAAGAGACTCTACCGGTGCTGTGTACTCGCTGGCCGCCCCGCTTCTCTTGGCGCAGCAAGTCGTCGCTCGTCGAGACCAGCCCAGTAGCCGGACCGCCTAGCCTGGCTGCCACCATGTCGGCAAGCAAAAGAGCTCTCTCGCTGGACCCTGTGACCGTCTTCGCCCTCGACATGAATTGTCGCCGGCAACTGTCCGATGGGTCGCTCCTCGCCTCTTCTGTGGACAGCGTGCCCCCCCTGCCCGGTGCTTGGCAAAGCATGATCCGACTTCCACCCACGCTGCCCGGCGAGCAAGGCCTCCCTCTCGTACCGGTACCTAGCTACCGTACCTGCCCAATCTGCGAGCACAGCCCCTCACGAGCCACGCTAACTTAGCGGTAACTACCTAGCACGCCGCCCGCGCCCTGATCCTCTCCCTCCATCCTGGCTTTGAATCTTTGCGCCAACGAGGCCCCACGCGGACGGCTGAGCCGCGCAGCCGTCGCGCTGCCCTTTAACCTCTGCCCCTTGTCTCCACGCGATGATATGATCCCCCTTCGCCTCTCGCACCCTCGCCCAGCGTCCTCGACCTCGTATCTGCCATAGCCACGGCCCTCTCCATCTACCGCCTGCGTTCTACGATCTCCGCGCTCTGCTCCATCTCGGTCCGTCTCGGCCAGCTGGCATCTTCTGCGACCGCAACACGGCCCATAGACCTGCGCCTCGCTGCTCCATCTCGCCGAAAGCCCAGGAGAGCTGCCATCGGATAGGACCGCCTGCAACCCTGCACCTAGAGGACCTGTTCAGCAAGGCTCAAGATTGGAGGAACCGTAGACACCTTACCATTCATCACAGCACACGACGGACACCATGAGGCCCAAATCCGCCTCCGATTCGCGACGAGGCAGCCCACGGAGCGAGTTGGCCTCGCCCGAGCTCGACCCAGAGGCCGGAGGATCCCTCCGTCCACCACGCTGGGCCCGGCAGACGTCCCGGTACAGCAACACCTCCTCCTCCTCTGCCGGCCACCCGCCATACCGTGACGACGAGGATCCAGCGTACGGCCACGGCGTCGAGATGAGCGAGGTCGCAGCCGCCGCCGGCCTACCGCTCCCCGCCTTTTCCCGCGACTCGTCCGGCCGCGTCACGTCCATGGCCAGCTCCAACATGCTCTCGATCTCTGGCAGCGACTACGACTCCGTCTACCAGCTCTGGCGCAACAGCGGCACCCCGTCCACCCTGGCTGCCAGCGACCGCCGCGGCTCCTACATGTCTGCAGCGACGAGGGAAGCATCGGCGGCCGACCTGGCCATGATCGAGCAGTACCGGTCCGGCACCCTGCCCGCCGGCAGCGGCGGTAGTGGCGGCGGCGGAGGCCGTGCCAAGGGCTTCGTTGGGCTGACCAGGGGCCAGGGCGGTGCAAAGGGCCCCAAGGACTATCGCGCCGTCGGCCTGGGCAAGTACGGTCCGGGCAAGGACCGGCAGATGTCGAGGAAGAAGAGGTGGCTCATCGCCCTCGGCGCCGTGCTGGCCCTGATAGTGCTGGCCGTCGTCATCGTGGTCCCGCTCTCGCAGACGGTCTTCAAGAGCCAGGACGGCTCGTCTTCTGCCAGCAAGGACGGCGGCGACGTGGCCGGCAGTGGCGGCAAGGGTAGCAAGGACGGGTCGGACGCCGCTGGCAACAAGCCGGCCGTCGATCCAAAGGAGCTGGTCGCGACGTGGGGTACCGACGGATCCACCATCAACCTCGACAACGGCAAGAGCTTCACGTACAGGAACAGTGAGTCGTCGGTCTGCCGCCTTGCCCTCCGTCCTTGGACGCCGCCGCGACGGCCAGGTGCAGAATACTGACGTCGAGCCTCCTGGCACCGCCCGCACGCTCCGCGCGTTTCTGCCCCTGCCTCCCTCAGGTTTCGGCGGCCACTGGGCCTCGCAGCCGCTCAACGACACCGCTAGAGCGCAGAACTACACGCCCCCGCTCAACGAAGAGTTCGACTACAGCACAAACAGGATCCTCGGCGTGAACCTGGGCGGCTGGCTGTGAGTTGTGCGAGCCCAGAATCCAGCGCCTCGGACGACGCCGGGCCGAACCATCTGACCGGGTCGCACCGCCTCTCACCGCACCCCGTGAACCGTCTCGCAGCGTGACGGAGCCCTTCATCGTGCCGGCGCTCTACGAGCCCTACGAGAACGAGACGCAGCCCGCGGTCGACGAGTTTACCCTGTCGCAAAGGTACCGCGAAGAAGGCGGCCTCGAGCGCCTGCGTTCGAGGATGACGGAACACTACGAGGTGAGTTGACGAGGGATGCATTCGACGACGATTCCCCTTGGAACACGGCCTGATCCCACGTGCGACCCATGCTCCCGCACCGGCCCCGGACGACAGACGTTTATCACGGAAAAGGACTTTGCGGACATCGCCGCCGCGGGCCTCAACTGGGTGCGCATCCCCATCGGCTTCTGGGCCATCGAGACGCTCGACAACGAGCCGTTCCTGCCCCAGGTGTCGTGGACCTACCTGCTGCGCGCCATCGGGTGGGCGCGAAAGTACGGCCTGCGCATCAACCTCGACCTGCACGCCACGAGCGGCAGCCAGAACGGATACAACCACAGCGGGCGGCTGGGCAAGGTCAACTTCCTGATGGGGCCCATGGGGTACGCCAACGGCCAGCGCACGCTGGCGTACATTGAGCGGATCGCCGAGTTCATCAGCCAGCCGTCGGTGCGCAACGTGGTGCCGATGCTGAGCGTCGTCAACGAGCCGCTGGTGCTCCAGATTGGCGAGGAGGCGGCGCGCGCGTGGTACTCGGCCGTCTACCAGCGTGTGCGCAGCATCACGGGCGAGGGCAGGGGCAAGGGCCCCTACCTCGTCATCCACGACGGCTTCCTGTCGCTGTCGAGCTGGAACGGCTTCCTCTCGGGCGCCGACCGCGTGGCGTGGGACACGCACCCCTACCTCGCCTTTGGCCAGCAGAACAACGATGCCTGGGACCAGCAGATCATGAAGCCGTGCCAGCAGTACGGCCCCATCACCGACAACGGCCGCGCCAACCTCGGCGTGACCATGGGCGGCGAGACGTCGCTGGCCGTCAACGACTGCGGCCTGTTTGTCAACGGCGTCGGCGACGGCGCGCGCTACGACGGCTCGTACCGCGGGCCGTCACCCGGCAACTTCCCACGTGTCGGCAGCTGCCGCGTCTGGGACGACTGGGAAAACTACAGCGACGAGATGAAGACCGGGCTGAGGCGGTTCGCGCTCAACGCCATGGACAGCCTGCACAACTTCTTCTTCTGGACCTGGCGGATCGGCGACTCGCTGCGGACGGGCAAGCCGACGAGCCCGATGTGGTCGTACCAGCTCGGGCTGGAGCAGGGCTGGATGCCGCGCGACCCGCTGCGCTCGTCGTCGGGCTCGTGCCAGGCCCAGGCGGCGCGGCTCAACGCCTTTACGCCGCAGACGACGCAGT